GGCCCGGAAAAATACCAGGCCACCCAGATATGTAAACAACCTACACTACCCGGCCTGGGCCGACCCGGTACAGATGGGAATGGCCCAATAGTCTATCGCAGGGCAACACAGAGACACACAGAACAAACAACCAAGTGCACGTCGTCGCATCTAGCCTGACAGTCATGTTTTTGGACTGGGACGAAGCCGGCGAGCCCGGAGAGAACCCACACATGCACAGGGAGAACATGCAAATTAGAAAAGACAAATATTCAACAGATAGTTAAATCCTTTATAAAAAAGAGCAAACATGACACCCTTTTATTGTTTCATATTTACAAGTTCTGATGCCAATGCTTTCTTATGTAAAGCAAAGGGCCAGGTAGCGCTCCCACTCAAATAGCCCCACCCCCTGAGAATCTAACCAAGCCAATCAGCGCTGAGCAGCATACATCACACACCCTGATGCTCTGTTTCTCATAAACAACGAAGACGACGTCTGAAGCGGAGTTCGCTGCATCTTTCCTTTGCTCTGTATGATTCAACATGTCTTAAAAACCACAACAAGAAGAAGCGCTAAAAGTCTAAAGAAAGAGGTTTGCGCCATTGCCAGACACCGTCTTTGACTAAAGCTGAAGAAATGCAGCGTCACGCAATAGTCTAGTGATGGCTAGTCCCGCCCCTCGTGGTGCTCTCTGCCTGTGAGTTTCCAGACTTGCCTTCTGTGTAGAGTAGATAGAGGGTGAATCTGGCAGGCCAGGCCAACAAAAATCATAATACTTAATCCTTTTCTTTACCCGCGTAATAGCTAGCGGCTTGTTTTGATGTGATTCTGGAAATCGTCTCCTACCTTTTCCTAGGTGTTTTAAAGCCAAATGCCACCGTGTTAAAATGTGTTGCAGGTGTTTTGACTGACACCTGTTATGACCAACTTACAGAAAAGTAGTCTCTCTAGAGCAGGGGTGCCCAATTCTGGTCCTGGAGGGCCGGTATCCAGCAGCATTTAGTTTTAACTCTGACATCAGGTTTGTTGAAGCAATCAGCAGGTAATTACCAGGCTTCTGTAGAACTTGATCAGCTGCTGCACAGGTGATTGAACCACTCAATCAAGTGTGTTGGAGCAGAGAAACCACAAAACCTGCTGGATACCAGCCCTCCAGGACCAGGATTGGATGCACCTGCTCTAGCGTCAATAACATCCACCCATGGTCAGCCCCTGTGAAAGGATGTGTCTCTACTTGCATGCAGATCTGGTCCACTAGCTGTGACCCTAATTCCGATTCCACAGGCGGATAGGCAGTAAAATTCCCATCACGGGAATGGCTTTAGAGAAAACACTGATGTTCCATGCGTAAACAAAGCACCCACGTGCACGGCTCTGCTTAACTTGCTTGAGACATTGGTTTGTGAGCATTTTTAAAGTACCAGAAAACACCTGAAAGAGCAAGCAATGTATGTTCATGAAGCAGATAGGGTTGTCACGGTAACCGGTGTAGCGGTAAACCCCGGTAAAAAAGTTGACAATAATGACAGGGGTGGACATTAACTTCAAAACCAACCGGCCAGCCGGGCCGGTAACTCTGAATATTTACCGGCCCCGCCAAGAATCTACCGGCCCCGCTGGTCAGCTGCCAAAACGAGTCAAAATAACAACTGAACCGTTTTAAATGTAATAAACCTTTATTTTGTACAAATTCACAAACATAATAACGTATTCATGTTTGAATTTGCTTGTTCCCTCAACAAAACTTGATTTTGTCGTCACATACTTCTGGCATACAACGCAGTACATCACCAACTCCACTTTGCTGTACTCGAGCCATTGGCTGTGTTCGAGATGAGCCAGTTCTGCGCAGATTAGACCAGCGGTGAGCGGCGAGCAGTGCATGCCGGTTAGATTTGTGTCCGAATTGACGCCGACTTGCTCTGACGTCATGCATACGTAGGCAACGATAACCTCGTGAGATCAAGGCGGCCGCAGATTTTGGAGCAAGGTGCTGCAGTTGCTCTCCCTCGGCTGCAAAACCTAGATGATGGGAAACGCCTGGCTCTCACCTGATCTAAGGTCTGATTGGTTCATATTTTGATCCAAACATCCGGTGGTAGAACATGAAATGTTAGTTGGTCACATGTTTTCTGTAAATCATGTTATGTTGATGATGACAATTATATAGGCCATAAAGAGAAATGTGTTTTGTGTCCTTTTGTCACGTTTCATATGAGCACACTGAAGCTACAGCTGATAACCTTTACTTATTATTACAGTCATGTCTTCATATACAATACATGATATCCACAAGCACGTGAGGATGTGTTTCAGCTGCTAACAGGCACCAGAATTAAAATTGAAAATTAAACAAGTGTGAACGCTAACGCGATATCTTCAGCCATCGTCACCCGTGAGCTACACATGCAGGGAAATCCAAGAGATTCAACTGGCAGAAACAACTGGTTCACACCATAGTCTCTCTCTCTCTCTCACTCACTCACTCACTCACTCACTCACTCACTCACTCACACACACACACACACACACACACACACACACACACACACACACACACACACACACACACACACAGAGAGGAAAAGAGCTGAGGAAATGGAGGAAAAACTACAGCTGAGCCGAGGCGCGCCTCGACTGGGGCGCGTCTGATCGGAACTGAGAAGCGGCCGAATCTCGTGAGCGATTCGCTTCTCGGCGCTTCCGCGGCCGGTGTGTCCCCGGCGTAAACGCCGGCTTTCAGCCACTCCCCCTGCTGCTTCCGTCTGCTCTCGTCTGTGTTCCAGGCGAGCCGCAGCTCAACTCGAACACGGCCATTCTCTGCGCCTCCCGTCTTCCTTAAACCGCCAAGAATCATTCCACCTACGCACACGCTTCTCTGCTTCATACCGTTTCGAACTGTCTCGCTTCTCCTCACCAGTTTTAAAGCGTTTTGCTGGAGATTTCATCAAGAAATCCCATCCCTGTGGTGGCGCCATCTTCCTGCGTGCTTGTGTGTTTCTAGTATGGTTCCACTTCGTCTTTAATAGTGAACTTGTAGTTCACGTGACTATAATTATGCAGTACGTGCACGAATCGTACAAGTGCAGTACGTGGCTAGAGGCGTGCAGGTTCACGCGCGCGAAACTAAAACGGCGGCTTCCTACAGGGCGGGGCCATGATGTAGGTGAAAGCCGGTGTGTAAATGACAAATAAGGCTTGGGCGCCCCCCGGGCGGTGAGTCTTCATGTATTTACCGCCCGACGAGAAAATTTAGCGCCATTGGCGCTCGGGCGCTTTAAAGGTCCACCCCTGATAATAATAACCGTCTTGTTTTTAAAAAAACTATATTATCTCGGTGGGGTTACCGTGGTTGCGGTGTAGGCGCGGTGACCCTTACCAGCCACCGTATCATCTGCTGAAGTTGCCGGCGGCACATGCACGCTTTGTTGTTTACAACCAAAACATTCCTGAAGCTAAAGCTGAAATAATGGCCAAAGGAGGAGACGGCAGATAAGAGTTGGTCTCTCTCCGAGAATAATTATGAATTTAACAATGATCACTGCCTGATGACATTTTCCCAAATCTGCAAAGCTCGCTGGAAGGACACAAACCGAGGACAATATTTTCCTGATATAGGGTTTATTACTCAAATAAGGGTAAAAAAGTATCTGATTAGAAGGCTACTTGAGTACTGAGTATCATCTGATCTAATATTTTTTAAATGATGACATCAAACAGACATAAAATAAGAAGTTATGGGCAAATATTGGTATTTTAAAGACTAAAGGGATAAAATGTAAACAAATAAACAACATAATTACAAAATAACACATTTTAGGCAAAATTTAGACACAAACTGAGGACAATATTTCCTGTCTTACAGGGTTTATTTAATTGTGTGAAAATGTAGCACGTTTAAAAAAAATACCGCGATAATACCGAAAACCGTGGTAATTTTGGTCACAATAACCGTGAGGTTAAATTTTCACACCGTGACAACCCTAGAAGCAGATGGTGGTCTTTACAAGTAAGTACAAAATTCTGCTTAGTTTTATTTTTATGCTATTGATTAGTTTGATGTCATTCCGTTTTATATTTTAGTTTATTTTGTAGTGTTATAAAGTTGTTTAGTGTATTTAGTAGTTTTAGGTTATTTGGAAAGAAATGTGTTGGTCAAGAAATGAATAAGTCACCATTTAGCTTTCTTTAACAGTAGAGTGTTACATGTCTGTTTGTTGCTAACAGTCATTTCTGTGAATAAAAACATTGTTTACACTTGGGCTGCTCAGTTAATCGAATTTTAATCCCAATTACGATCCGAGTTTTGAACGATTATAAAAACAAAACAAGCCGATTATTTGCTCCTCCCACTTGCGCTGCCCTGAGTTGCAAATGAAGCGCTCCTCCCACAGTGTTGCCAACTTAGCGACTTTGACGCTATTTCCAACAGCTTCTCAGACCCCCTTCTTGACTTTTTAAATCTTAAAAGTACCTAGCGAACACCTCAGAAACATCTCTGGTAACCCTTAGCTATTTTCTGGATAACTCGTTGACATTTCCTGCAGGATAGCTAAACACTCCGCCTGCGCTTCGGACCGTTCTTCAGGACATTAGGAAAGGGAATGATGTAATGATGTGTCAGTCGCTAAAAACAGCTCTCAGAGCCGGCTCCCTGTTGGAGTAACCAGAGTGAGTGACACACACACCGTACCTGCGGGCTCCTGAGCCGATAAAAACAGCTAAATGTGTGCGTGCGGCGCGCTAAACACACGTGCAGCTTGCCCTGATTGCTGTGAGACCGGGTTGGGGGGTGGGGGGTGCAGCTGTGGGTGGGACAATTATTACATTAACTGATGGACCTGTAAATAAATAGTTTATAAATAAGGTAGAAATAAGTTCCTTACGCTGATAAATAATAACTAATCTCTCTGAGGACACAGTGCTAGTGCACTCTCCTACAGCACCTTGACACGACTACATAAATGTTATGCAACATTTTGTGAACATCAATTTATTTGCATTTATTTGTTATAAATGCCGCTGTATAATTCTTGCTGTCAGTATTTGCAAGATATTGGTATTTGGGTCTGTACTGGTTAGACTTAAATGAGTTAAACCAAGGTCTATAGCCCTTGGGTCATAGACTATGAGCTATAAGTATATTGGTCTTTTTATACTGGGAATCAGGTGTTATTTTAGTGATCATCTTCTTTATTTATTTTTGTCCTGATTGTGCCCTGAGCAATTTTATGACTGAATAAAAACAAATAAAATCAACATAAATTGAAAAATCGTCTTAAATAATCGAGATCTCAGTTTCAGTCACAATAATCGTGATAATTATTTTTGCCCTCCATCAGCTGATACTGGTGAGAAACGGCAGCGGAACATTACAACTGAGAAACTGATCTCATGGGTGGGCTCATCAAAGCTTTGTGGCCCATAGTTCAAAGAGTAGCACGAGGGGACCTGTATGTGAAACAAAAACACCACACAATGCAACAATGGTGGAAATTGTAGCAATACAAAGAAATCCTTAAAAATCTTACAGTGTCAATTCCTGGATTTTTTTTCATTCTGTCTTAAAGTGAGCCTATGGTGGAAATTACAGACCTCAACTTTTTAAGTGGAACATCCTACACAGTCAGTGGCTGCCAAACGCAAGGAAATAATCTTTAAGAGATAAATAACAGGTCATTTAAATTATCACCATTTTACTTGCAATTGTCAAGTTTCGGTAACAGGGTGTGGCGACAATCCCATCACCCATAGGCAGTAGTTGGACTGAAGATAGCTGGATAACACTAACTCTGGGATGTATTGCTGGGTAATGTCTCTTTGGTTAGTTATATTCTCCTTAAACTGACATCCAGTGATATGAGTTGTGTTTGATCAAATATTAAGTACAATTGTTGACATTTGGTCTTTGGATAGTACCTTTGGCCACTTAAATGCTAACTTCTTTTACACCTCAACCTTTTCCCCTCTGTTTCTTTGTTTTGCCTGGTTGTTGGCTTCCTGTCTACCATTGGTGCCCTCCCTCGTTTTCCTCCTTCTCTGTTGTTGCTCATTGTACTCCCCCACCCCACCCCTACCCTTCTTCCTAGTTTTAATCCCACCCTCCCAAGCCTGTTTGGATGTCATCTGGCTTCTTATGTAAGGAGACACAGGGGAGGGTAATGGCTTTAAAGCCCGAGTGCCACAATGTCTGACCAGCCGGCATATTTGTGCTCGCTGTCACCTGTTGTGTCGGCCTGGGAGTATTGCTGCTATTAGCCTTCTAAACGGAGACTGAAAGTGAGGTACTGATGGGTGTACAGGGAGACTCCAAAGCTTCTTTGGACTGGTAAGAGAAAGGATTCTCATTATACATGTTAGAATTATTATGAGGGGGAGGAATGCATCCAGGATCTTTAACTCTTACGTGTAAGCCAGGAACTGACCATAGAGCCATCCTTTAATCATTGCAGAATCAGTTTGTTTGTATAAACTGTATAAAGTCAAACAATAATGTAGCGTCTCCTATCTGTTGGTGGATGGCTATCAGCTGCTTTTACTGAGTTAAACAACTTTGACAGAGTATTGTTATCTGTTCCAGTTGTTTTCTAATAAAATGTGAAGAACAAATGATCTCAAGTGTCTCACAGATATTTAGTTCTAGTGCTTTGTGTAGGATGTTCTGATTTCTGGAGACCTGCACCTTTTTTGCCTCTTCTAACGTGAAATGTTTCCTCCTCAGGTCACACCACACAATAGGGGCTTTACTAGCTAAACCAGCTACTGGAGAATTTTCATATTTCTGTTGGAGATGTTTTTAGTCCTATTTGGTGACGCCGACACACAGAGCTGGATTTTTAACAGCTTTGTAGCGTTGACAGTTGTCATTCATTGTGCTGACAGTCCAGGTAATAGATTGTAACTCTAGTAGTAGAACATAAAATAGGCTCTCTTGTAGTTCATGTTAAAACGAAATGACACGGTAATAAATCTGTCATTTTTTCAAATGTAGCTCATTTGTATAGTGTCTGATCACCCATCACCCACGGCTTGTTATATAAGGGTTATTATCATATAGCCTCAAAATACCCTACACCCAGCATGGTTATGACAAATATTTTATAATAGATTATCTCAAGTTAATGTCACTTTAGATTACTTTGATAGGGACTGCTTACTGCCCAGAGATGTTAGCAGGACTACGGGTGTGTATTCATAGATTTAAACGGCTAAAAAACATTTGTTTATAGTTTATCTTGTCAGACTCACAGCTGAATCTAAATTTTGTCAGGTGTAGGTCTGCATCATATTTTGGGATGAACTGATCAAGGTTTTTTAAATTTTCATTAATCTTTTGCCTGCTGAATCCAATTTTAGCTGATTAGAGCTATAATTAACAACATGCAAATGTTTATTCTGATGGGTCATTTGACTAGCAAAATGTTACCAGTTAACAAAAAAATATAGGGCATCTCAAAATAGCACTTAGTGGGTCTGTTTGGGCTAAGAAATGTTATTTTATGGACAAATAAATTAAACTAAAACCGATTTCCTGATAAAAAACCAGAATGTAGCATCAAACGTTTCGGCTAGGGCTGCATGATATTAGGAAAACCTGCGATATTCGATAACAGTGCTTAATATTGCGATATCGATATTACTCACGATAAATGACCAAATACTAAAGTATGCAGTGTTGATGTCGTCTGGCGTGTGACGTCTGCTCTGGGTTCAAAGCAAACAAAAACTAATGCATGAATTCCATTACAACATAACATTTTTATTGCAAAAATATGCAGCTGCACCTGCTACTGTATTAGCAGCTGCACCTGCTACTGTATTAGCAGCTGTACCTGCTACTGTATTAGCAGCTGCACCTGCTACTGTATTAGCAGCTGCACCCGCTACTGTATTAGCGGCTGCACCCGCTACTGTATTAGCGGCTGCACCTGCTACTGTATTAGCAGCTGTACCTGCTACTGTATTAGCAGCTGCACCTGCTACTGTATTAGCGGCTGCACCCGCTACTGTATTAGCGGCTGCACCCGCTACTGTATTAGCGGCTGCACCCGCTACTGTATTAGCAGCTGCACCCGCTACTGTATTAGCAGCTGCACCCGCTACTGTATTAGCAGCTGCACCCGCTACTGTATTAGCAGCTGCACCCGCTACTGTATTAGCAGCTGCACCCGCTACTGTATTAGCAGCTGCACCCGCTACTGTATTAGCAGCTGCACCCGCTACTGTATTAGCAGCTGCACCCGCTACTGTATTAGCAGCTGTACCTGCTACTGTATTAGCAGCTGCACCCGCTACTGTATTAGCAGCTGCACCTGCTACTGTATTAGCAGCTGCACCCGCTACTGTATTAGCGGCTGCACCCGCTACTGTATTAGCGGCTGCACCCGCTACTGTATTAGCAGCTGCACCTGCTACTGTATTAGCAGCTGCACCCGCTACTGTATTAGCAGCTGCACCTGCTACTGTATTAGCAGCAAAACAACAAACTGCATGCATGCAGTTTCTCAGTGACTTTAAAACTTCACCTCCACCATAAAACTTTTTCTGATGCTCCAAATACAGAAAAACATCCCTTACCAGGGTTTTTGGAATAAATAGTTTAAATGTTAAATAATAGTTAACATCACTTCAATGCAACAGCAAATTCTCTCATTGCTACTGAGCATTTTCTCCACTTATGTGGTTATGATATAAGGCTGTTGCTGTAACTGGGAAGTGAACTGGGCCAAACTAGGAGAATATTAAGATTTTCTGAGGGAAAGAGAAAAACAATTGTCTACCTTTCAGAAGAGGAACCGGCAAAAAACTACATGGAAAATATGTGAAAACGTTTGTTTTTAACCCCAAATTGAACAAGTTTACCTAGATCTTAAAAAGCAGCTCAGATGATGAAACTGCAACTATGATTCTGATAACAAGCTAACAAATTGAACTAGCTCCTCTAAGATAACCGGCTAGCAGAGCTTCTGACTGACAGTTTATGTGCAGCAGCAAATCAACTCTCCTGATTAACAAGGTTATAAAAGCTCATAAATGAAAAATCACTTTGATGTGTGGGGGAACTTTTCCAGGCCCTCTTTAGCAGGGTGGGACTGGGAGGAGAGAGCTGTAGCCTTTTAGCTGGAAGCTAACCGGAGCCTGGGGCTAACATCACCACCCGGTAGAACACTAGCAACATGAAGTGGGTTGGTTCACCGGCACATGTCGGAGTCAGCCCGGTTATTATCAGCTGCTTAACGACACCGAGCGGACTCACGTTCACGTTTGAAAGCAGCGCTGATTCCAGAAACCTCAGCACAAAGTACGTTCGTTAATCTGAGCCAGCATGACGAACAAGGGAACGGCGCCGCTAATGTTCAGGTGTTGCTTTCCATCCTAGGGGTCTACGTAGGGGGTGGGCGTATTACGTGAACGGACCCATTTCAGGGGTGGACATTAACTTCAAAACCAACCGGCCAGCCGGGCCGGTAACTCTGAATATTTACCGGCCCTGCCAAGAATCTACCGGCCCCGCTGGTCAGCTGCCAAAACGAGTCAAAATAACAACTGAACCGTTTTAAATGTAATAAACCTTTATTTTGTACACATTCACAAACATAATAACGTATTCAAGTTTGAATTTGTTTGTTCCCTCAACAAAACTCGATTTTGTCGTCGCATATTTCCGGCATACAACGCATTACATCACCAACTCCGCTTTGCTGTACTCGAGCCATTGGCTGTGTTCGAGATAAGCCAGTTCTGCGCAGATTAGAAAAGCGGTGAGCGGCGAGCAGTGCATACCGGTTAGATTTGTGTCCGACTTGCTCTGACGTCATGCATACGTAGGCAACGATAACCTCGTGAGATCAAGGCGGCCGCAGATTTTGGAGCAAGGCGCTGCAGTTGCTCTCCCTCGGCTGTAAAACCTAGATGATGGGAAACGCCTGGCTCTCACCTGATCTAAGATCTGATTGGTTCATATTTTGATCCAAACATCCGGTGGTAGAACATGAAATGCTAGTTGGTCACATGTATTCTGTAAATCATGTTATGTTGATGATGACAACTATAAAGGCCATAAGGAGAAATGTGTTTTGTGTCCTTTTGTCACGTTTCCTATGAGCACACTGAAGCTACAGCTGATAACCTTTACTTATTATTACAGTCATGTCTTCATATACAATACATGATATCCACAAGCACGTGAGGATGTGTTTCAGCTGCTAACAGGCACCAGAATTAAAATTGAAAATTGAACAAGTGTGAACGCTAACGCGACATCTTCAGCCATCGTCACCCCCGAGCTACACGTAGGGAAATCTGTCCGACTTAAACGCCGGCTTTCAGCCACTCCCCCTGCTGCTTCCGTCTGCTCTCGTCTGTTTTCCAGGCGAGCCGCTACTCAACTCAAATACGGCCATTCTCTGCGCCTCCCGTCTTCTTTAAACCGCCAAGAATCATTCCACCTACGCACACGCTTCTCTGCTTCATACCGGTTCGAACTGTCTTGCTTCTCCTCACCAGTTTTAAAGCTTTTTGCCGGAGATTTCATCAAGAATTCCCATCCCTGTGGCGGCGCGATCTTCCTGCGTGCTTGTGTGTTTCTAGCGTGGTTCCACTTCGTCTTTAATAGTGAACTTATAGTTCACGTGACTATAACTTGAATCATGCAGTACGTGCACGAATCGTACAAGTGCAGTACGTGGCTAGAGGCGCGCAGGTTCGCGCGCGCGAAACGAAAACGGCGGCTTCCTACAGGGTGCGGCCATGATGTAGGTGAAAGCCGGTGTGTAAATGACAAATAAGGCTTGGGCGCCACCCGGGGGATAAGTCATCAAGTATTTACCGCCCGACGAGAAAATTTAGCGCCATTGGCGCTCGGGCGCTTCAGAGGTCCACCCCTGCATCTGATTGGCCGCATATTAGAAGAGCTACATTTGATTGGTCAAATAATACTTCCGCGTAAAAAACAGAGCTGGTTTACAAAAAGTTGATGTATGACATGGATGGAAATGTTTGAACCAAACATTTATCGCCGTTTTTGATGTGCTTCGTGATGGTCGTATCGTACGTCCTATTATCCCGATGACGATAATTTTTCGATATATTGTGCAGCCCTAATTTATGGCATGTTTACATGGTTATAATGTTGAGCTATTAGCCGGTTTTTGTTCAATCAGGTCTTGTTTGCATGGAGTTAGTTTAGTCATTTTTCACAACTGCGTTGGGTACAGTTTATTGGGAAAGATCTTTTTTAGCAGTAAATATTTGTCATTTAAACATTTTTGCAGTTTTTGCATCACATAAGACTGAACAGGTTAAATGAGGGATGGACAATATATCGGC